GAATAATAGTTAACATAATGAAAATAAATGAAATAAAATTTGAAATTAATTAAAAAAGTAATAAAATATTAAAGAAACGAAATTAAATTAAAATGAATTATTTTATATATATAAGAAGTAATTTTAAAATTTTAAATAAAATTAAAATCTTTTGCAATATAATACATATAGTGCAAGAAGCCTATATCCGACATCACGTGATCTTAAGCAACATACTAATTAAAAATTGTATCTAGTCAACAAAATTATACTTCAACAAAAAAAACTCTCTATAGAATAATTACATAGAACCTAAACAACAATGTTACAGTAAGATTTTTTATTTTAAATCGATATTGATGCTGCTATTCATAATTAAGTTTATAGTATTTAAATATAGCATTAGAAATTTGGCTACATACATTATAATATAAAATTTTACTAAATATGCTTAAAAATTTAAAAAATCATTACTTTTTTAGTACTACAAGTTAAGTTTAAACAACCATTCTTGTATCTTTTTCTTTGTGATCTTTTTTTTTACTTAATCAGGTTTTTTTAATCAGGTTTATTTTTTATTCAATTGGGCATCTTTTTTTTTTATCTTATAAGGCTTTCTTTTTATTTCATTAGGTTTTTTTTTCTTTACTTTATCAAGTTCGTTACTCTGTTTCATCAGGCTTCTTTTGGTTTTTTTTTTTTTTTTTTTTATTTCGTTGGAACTATTTTTACGTCATCTGTTTAATAAATTAAATTTTTAATCAAGAAATTAAATGCACAAAACTACTTAAATAAAATATTACAACTTACCTAATTATCAGATCTTGGTATTAATTCAACTTGAGCTCTAATATTCACACCAGTACCGCAAGAAAAACTACTTATTATCTAAAATAATCATGCATCATGATATCTAAACTAAAATAAAGAAGCCTTACACATTCATATTATAAAAACAGTATTCAAAAAAAAAAAGATAACTAGTAATCAAATATCTTGCCCTATATGATATAAACTTTATTAATCATAACAAACAGTTAAGTGGTTAAGGAATAATACTTTCAGGAATTCTCTTGTGAGATTTATATTTTTTTATTGCAAATTTGGCTGCAGCAAGTGACAATTCTTTTCTATAAGCATCCATATACCACGAAGCTCTTCTTGCATGCTTTCTAATCATTATAACATCTACAGAATTAAGAGCTTTTGGCACAATACTTCGTAATCCTTAAAATGTGTAGTTGCAATGGCTTCTTGTATATTGTTTTTTTTTTTTTTTTTTTTAAGTTAAAGTCCCTATCTTGGGAGTTGCGATGTTTTTATTCAAGTATATTAGGA